AAAGGATGAGATGTAAAGTCCCTGTACACTATGTACCCTGGCTGTCTGTTCAATATTTTTTAATTTTAAATTAACCTTTCACACATACCAATAATCAAGAAGAGTCTAAAATTAGTGCTAAAGGTTCGTAAGCGTGAGTGAGACACACTGTAATATCTTTGCAGCCAGCTCCTGATACCTTCAGGCTATTCAGCAAATGACCTTGGTGGGTTGACAATAAATATCTCGCAGGGTCGCAATTCAGTCTTTTTTTTTTTCAGTCTTCTTGAAAGAACAGGCTGTGGTTTTTTAAAATATAATGACAATTTTCATAGCTTGGATGAAAGGAAAATGTTGGTCAGGGTTCCCTGCTCGTGAATAAATAAGTCAAAGGCAGCTTATGAATTGAAGATGTGGTATTAGCAATTTGATTCTGACATTGCTGATTCTGTTCCACAAACCTTTATAAATGTGACGGTCCCAAAGGAATTCATATGACAATACACACTGAGTGTCTACTCTGTGCTGGGACCTTGAACCGACCAATAAAAGAGACAAATCTCTGGCAATTTAACCAAGAGGCTAAAAGGAATATTACATTCATTCTCTTCTGGTACAATACGATAGTTGATTTATTTTTTAAAAAAACACACATTATCACAAGCCACATAATAAAAAAACGATAACAATAAATAATTGTTTCCATGGACTAAAAAGCCAAGATGGCTTTTCAAAATAAGAATAGTAATAGCTCTTGCCTTATGAAGTATTATCATATGTTAAAACCCAGAGGGATTTAGTGAGGATGGTCTTGGCACAGGAATGGCAGATTCACGAAGTAAAAACAATCTACAAATGGTGGACTCCAGGATAAGGGAGAAATATGTGTGTGATCAAGAAGACACTGAAACCAGTGAGGAAAAGGATGAATTAATTGATACATCATGTTGAGACAACTGGCTCACCATCAGTAAAAAGTAAAGTTATTCCTACCTCCTATTTCATAGGAAGCCAAATTCTAGCTGGGTTAAAACTCTCAATATTGAAGTATAAGAAACATCACATGTCAGTGCTTAGAATGAAGATGGTCTTTCTGAGGCCAACAACAAAGTGAGAAATCATAAAGCAAAAAAATGTTAGATGTGATTTCATGAAAATTACAAAGTTTTGTACGAGAATTTTAAAAAGCCCATATACAAAAGTCAAAAAAGAGGTCAAGGTGAATGGATTTTAGATACAATGTTAATATAATTTCACTTTACTCACAGTCTGATGAGGCATGTGAACAGGAGTTACAAATCTTAATCTATAAAAATATATGGGGGAGAAAGCATAGACGGATGACCCCATGTGGGTTATATTTGAATGATGAGTATACACAATTGTTATGTTTTTTTCTTTATGTTATGTTTTTTTTCTTTATGTTTTCCTGTACTTTTAAACCTTTTGCAATGATCATGCATTCCTTCCTTTTATAATCAGCAAAAATCAATCTAGCTATTAAAATTGCTTACTGGTCCCATATGTGAGCATTTCTTAAAAATTCTTACATCACAAATATTAGATACTAAATACATCTAAGAATCTTGTGAAAAGAAATCTGAGTTTAATTTGTCCGGGACTTCAAAGTACCTGCAGGTTTCCTAATCACTGGGGTATAGCAGCTAATATTTTAGCATTTCATACTTTGGTCCTTCACGGCATTATGGAATTTGTTTACTGTCCATATATACGGTCATGATATTCCATTTTGTGGGGTTACTCACTGTCTAGCCTTGAATATTGTAATTAGCAAGTGTATGAATCAAATATACAAGTATCAAAACTATTGTATTACATTCTATTTATTTGCTTTGACAAGAGATCAGTGAATCTGTCTAAATAATTCATATCTCATTTGTAAGCATAAGTGTCCGTAGACTCTTTGATCATGAGAATTATAATTTAATAAATAGGAATTCTAATTCTATTGTTATGCCATTTAACTTTGCATTGAGAATGTTTTTTTCTTAGGGGAACATCTGGGATATTTTAAACTGGTAAAATAAATATTAATTACTGACATATTTCCTAACATTTTCTACTTCAAAGAACTACCAAGAATCACTGTGGCATGTCTCCCCATGGTCTCAATTTTCTGGAGTCCATGAAAATATACTTAGAAGAAAGAGACTGTGATAATGGTAACGGGCATCTCTCTCTAGATAAATTACTCTAAAGGAGACATCTCATTTGAAAAAAAGTATTCTGGAGAAAGCATGGTTATGGAGGCAGACAGCCCTGAGATTCAAGTGGGGCTCCCCCACTTATAGTCTTTATGTCCTTGGGAAAATTACTTGACCTCACAAGTTTGTTTCCTTGCCTGTAAGACACAGAGTGATATCTACTTTATGGTCATTATTGAGGGGACATATTTAAAGTTCCAAGCACATATTAGGCACTCAAACAAAATGATGACTATTATTGAGGGTGGACCCGGGGATGATAAGGCTGCCTGCTGCCAGGAGGAAGCTGGCTGAGTCTCTACCAAGAGGCTTGTAGAGGAACTATAAGTGAATTTACTACCACCTAGGAGTGAGGCTGCCAAGCTCGAAACTGAATGATCACAGAGATGACTCATGCTATTCAAGTTCCGTCAACAGTTAACTGATTTGAAGGAGAACATATTCCTTTTTGGTGCCTGAAGTGATCACATCTGTCAGTCAGGCACCACCTTCCTTATATTAAAATAACTCAGTGGTTTTGGGGAGGATGGACTCAGAACAAAGAGACGCAGTGCCGTGAGGGAAGTTGCACCTGGGTCATGGGGAGGCCGAAAGACTCTCCTTGTCTAACTACGGGCCTCACCTCACCAGTGCAGAGAAACCTGGTACCTTCCAGAGCTGGGGTCTCTCTCCAGGGTAGTACCTTTGGGACCTCTGAGCTTTCCTTTTTCATTGTTTAAGGCTAGCAGTCTATCCTCATTCTGTCTACATAGGTCTTCCCCAGAGAGAGAAAATGACAATGTACTGGCCTCCACTTATTAAGTTACCATCACGTCTAGCCCTGTCTCCCCCAGTTTACAGCAAGATAACCTTGGTGACAGTGCTGGGTGTTTCCTTATATAGCCAGAGAAAATGAGAATTTTACCAGGAAAATCATTAAGAACTATCTGATTCCCTCGTTTCCAAGCCCTTGAAGGAACCTCACTGCTTCCCCATGTAATACTAAGTCATGTTTACTGTTGTTTCTGTTGATGGGATGGATGGATGGATGGATGGGAGGGAGCAAAAGAGGGATGAATAAATGGCTGACAATGGAGAGATGGGATATGAACAGAATATTATAACATTTCGTGCTAGTCATTAGCTGTGAATGAGTCCTTGGTATCTTATTTGGCACCCAGAATGATGAGAAGTAGGACAAAAGAAACTTGATCTATGTTTATTGCTTGACTTTTGATTCAAAAAAGCAGAAGCAAAGAACCACACTGACCTTAAAGAGGAGAGAGGCTGTCTAGTCCAAAACAGCCTCTCATTTTTCAGTCCACTTATTAAAAAGTTCACCTTTAACTCAGAATTCAATGAGGTTTTAGTGCATTTCACTCTCCTCTTAGGAGCGAGTTGACTGTACTCTGAGCCAGAGAGCCAGCTCTGTCCAGACTGACCTTGAACAATTCACTCAGTTCTTTGGAGTGTTTTTCAGCCCGCCTCCCTGGAAGAAGAGGATACTAACTTTAGCCCTCAGTCCTCCCTCAGGAATGTGCTAAGGAAAGAGCAACAGCATATGGGATATACTGCAAGCTCCTACAAAGGAAGGTCTATAGATGGGTTTACAGGATGAGCAGAGAGAAAAGGGCAATGTTCTCAGTATCAGGCTGCTTTTCTCCCTTATTTTAAACACATTTCTCTGGTTAAAGTTAACGGCAACTGATAAAGACGCTAAGCAGGATTTAGGTCATGCTGCTGTTTGAAATCAGCAGCTAGCTTGCTGGTGATTCACATGTTGAGGACTCATTTAAGCACCACCCTGTCTTCTAGTCAAGAATTGGAAACGCAACCATAAAGGTTCACCTTGTTTAAAACATTTTGAATCATCCATAGCTAGCATCACCCAGAAAGTCAGCCCCACCTTTCCCACCAGCCCTCTGAGCAATGCAGTTCTGTACGTGCAATGTCACGGCAACTTGAGGCGAACAGAAGGTTTGCTCGAAAAGCCCAGGAGCCCTGTAAGACGAGCAGCCACTCCTGGCTGGCTCCTGGAATGTGCTCACATATTCGAGCCTGCAGAAAGCCACATTCTGCAACCAGTGGGGCCCTTGTGACAGTGATCGAGCTTTCTCCTGGGCTGTCATCAATTACGATGCTTAAGTGCATGATGTTTTAAAGAAAAATAAATAAACAGTTCGGGTCCCTCCCCACCCCACGCCCCCTCTTTAACTTCATGCGAGGACACCCAACCAAGTCAAATCATTTAAATGCTGTCTTTTGACCAACAGCTGGCTCGAGCAGAACACTTTCAAAATTGTTCAACTGCAGAGAAGGCGAACGAATAATCTGAAATTCACAGGCTTGCTCCTTTATCACACCACACTGCTTATATCTCCCTTTTCTCCACAGCAAGACAGAAAATTATTCATATTTTTAATTTAAAACATTATATTAACTGTTCTCTATGGGAGCCTCTGAACACACACACTCAGCACCTGTGCATGGGAGACACAGCCCCAGAACACTGCCTCACCCACCATGTGGGAATTCTCTTCCCTTTTCTATATATAACCACCGCATTTCTCATGCACACATCACCCCCCAAACCTGTCCACACACACGCTACCATCTCATCATGCTCAGAGTGGAATGCTGTTAACAATGCCCCGATGTGGAGAAAATTCACAAGGAAAGCCAAGAGATGGGTTTCTGGCTGAATGAAAAAGCTAGTTCAGTCCGCGGCAGCGCCTTCAGCCGGGGCAGGCTCTGCCCAGCTCTGCAGTGTGCTCTGCATGTCTAATAATGGGAAAGGCTCCTGGATCGGCTGCTTACCTTGCAATGCTGCAGCAGAAGTATCTGCTCGTCAAGCTCTTGCCGCTTGCCTTCTATTTCAGTCTGCCTCTTTCTTTTTTCCTTGAAAATAAAGAGAGAGAGGCTGTTCAGAGTGGGTGGGTGTTGGCGCCAGGAATGGGAAGGCAGGAGGAAGCAGCAGCAGCAGCAGCACACATCTGTACAGACACTACCAGAGATGCTGGGCACACACGCAGTGTCACCTGCCCCTCGGTCTCTGGGTGTGTTGCAGGCAGCAGCATCCTCCAAACATGTCGGCTGTGGGCTCTGTGAGTGGGAGAAATTCTCCTCACTCAGCCCAACTGCCACAGTTTCATCCAGAAGAAAAGGCGGTTTCTACACACACACACACACACACACACACACACACACACACACACAGAAAGAGAGACATGGTCTGTGCAGTGTTCATTTGGAGACAAAGAATAAAAATATCTCAATCGAAAACACAGAGGCTGTTGTAAACTGTGAATACGATAGGATCAAACAGTGGGAATTCTAGGATAGATTTCTTTCACTGAGCTCATGTACACAAATAATCCAAAGTAATTTCAAATTCTGTAGGAGAATTATCCAGTTGGACATACCAAACAATGCAAACGAGATGGGTGATCTTTCTGAAACTAGCATTGTGGCGGGGTGGGGGACAGAGGGAAGTATGATGTGTGGGTGGGGCTCGCTGAGGTGCTGGTAAATATCAAGTCTGCGGTTGGTCTGCCTGAGTCCAACACCCAGCTCTGCCATTTGCTACCTGTGTGACCTCTAACAAGCTCTTTTACCTCCTGAGTCTAAGTCTTCTCGTGCATAAAGAAGAGACAATAACTGTACCTAAACCATATGGCTGGGGCATGGATTAAATGGATGGGTGGATAGACGGATGGAGGCAGAGCGGGAAGGATCACACACGTAAGGAACCTAGAACAGTGCCTGGCATGCAGGAGACGCTCAATAAATGTTATTTGCTCTTATTCTTATTGCCACATGTTTACTTCTAGGTAATACTTAGAAACTGGATTTAAAGGGATGTACTCAATCCCTTGTATTCACAGCATAACTTTTCCATTGTACTTTTCTTCTTCACCCCTTGCAAATGTATACAATAAACATCCCATGAATGTGATTCATTTAAGACTAGAAAGGCCTTTCCTTATGATAGCGTACTTGTTCAATGTTTATTTTCCAAAGTGCACAGAGTGGGGTTTACGGAGACAATTACCGCACTGGGTTATTTACCTTCACTCACATAGGCAGGGAGAAACTTGTTAGAGAAGCCATAATGGCATTTTACAATATAATGGCCAAATCCTGGAGAAGACAATAATTAGAAGGCTGGCTGCTGTGCTGTGTGTTGACAGAAGCTTTTATTTTCATTAGTTCCGATGTTTCTGGGGGATGTCCTTGCATCACTGCTATTCAAATCCACATTGTAATAATTTGTTATAACCAAGTTCTTCAGTGCAATACACAGACTTTTAAGAAATAATATCTTCTATTATTTCTGGGACATAATAACCAAGTCAGGGGTGTAACATCCTTGCCAAAGTGACACCCAAGAATATTTAGAACAGCGGTTCTCAACCTGTGGGTCACGACCCCTTTGGGGGTCGAACGACCCTTTCACAGGGGACGCCTAAGACCATCAGAAAACAAAAAGATATTTATATTACGATTCATAACAGTAGCAAAATGACAGTTATAGAGTAGCAACGAAAATAATTTTATGGTTGGGGGTCACCACAACATGAGGAACTGTATTAAGGGGTTGCGGCATTAGGAAGGTTGAGAACTGCTGA